TAAAAGAGACCTGATGGTTCAGTGAGCCACTCTGTCTACAGGAAGGCTACCCATACGGATGCTTACCTGAAACCGGATTCCCACCACCATCCATCCCAGAAGAATTCCCTCATCAAGACTCTACACCATAGAGCCCAATGCATATCCGACCAGGAACACATTGTCAGTGAACTCAAGCACGTACACCAAGCTCTTAAGGCTAATGGTTACTCCGACTACACAATCCACAAAGCTATCACTCCAACCATGAAGAAGGACCCTCTTGAGGAGCCATTCAAAACCATCACTTTACCCTACATTGCGGGGATCACAAAAAAGATCTCCAAAATCTTGAATAAACACAAGATCCAGGTCCGATTCAACACATTACATAAAATCCGTGATCTGGTTCCGTCTGTAAAAGATGTGATTCCGGACATACAGTACCCTGGCGTCTACAAACTAAGTTGCCTCTGTGGTAGTAGTTACATTGGAGAAACCGAACGACATGTCTCGGACCGCATTCGTGAACACAAAGCAGACCTAAAACACGGTAACAGATCACTGTTATAATTCGGTAGGCTCACATGACATTGACTTCTTCAAGACAGGTTCTTTGCAAGCCATCTGGCTACCATGAAAGATTCGTTCATGAGGCTATCCACATATACAAACACAGAGACAATTTCAACCGAGAAGATGGATTCTGGCTTAGCAATCATTGGAAGGATTTTAGAAGCCATTTCGGATCTTAATTGATTGTTCACGCTTATGGTGGCTTTCAGACCACATCCATTATTTTCGTCTCCTCCCTCCTATTTTCCGAACATAGATGGACTCGTCCATCTGAATAACTGCCAAATGGCTCTCCGTGGTGCTAACGTTAAAAAAACGCCACTTTTTTCAAATGTTCTTGCTGTGGTTTTCACACCTGATGATGATTGCTTGTGTTGCAGTGTCGAAACGTCGTGAGAATTTTATTGTTTTATATTTTTATTATTTTATTGTTTCCCTTCTACGTGACTTTACCGAAAGAACCAAGAATATAATGATATGGTCGTTTTCCCAACATAAAAATAAAATGTGTTTTTTTTTCTCTCAGCGTTTGTGTAAATAAACACACTCTGGCTTATTTTAATCATCTGGATTTCATCACTACAGTAAGGCTTGTTAAACAAATACAAAATGTTGCTGGATAATTTTGGCCTGGAAAGCCTCTAGTGTGACAGACTCACAGATATGTTTTATTTTTGTGCAAAATGAACGGAGATCTATGCATGGTACTACTAGGAATGCTCAACAACACATTATGGGGTTTATGCATATAATGAAGGTGTTACTGTTCATGAAAAGAAGCATTAACTACAATTAACTAAAGGTATTTGGAAGCAACGCACAAGGAATGACTGGTGTACGTTTTACCAATGTATCTTTGAAATTATGTTGGAGTATACAATCCCCGCTTCTCCACTTTAAAGTAAAATGCGTTTTAGTCCGACGGCATATAGGCTTTCCAGACCAATATTATCCAGCTCATTGCATGCCCCTCATCCAATTACGTTTACATTTTGACGGTTTAACATGGTCCGCATAATTCTAGCAGTTTGTAAAATCATTGCAAAAACCTAAGCATGAAAGTAAAACCTATACATGTAAAGGTCAAAAGCTACTGTGATTTGTACTTCATTGATCATTGTATGTACACAATTTGCGAAAAAAAGTAACTTTTCCTTGATACGTGAAGGCTACTTGTGTTTTTGTAAATTTCCTGCTGGAGTAGATTTTGGTTTTGTAATGATTGCAAATGTTTGGTGCTTGGGGAGGTGCTCTGAACCTTTCTGTATTTTGTAACACAATAGACTTGAAACCTTAACCTTTAGCATCGTTGGACATTACAGTGGGACCAGTGAAAAGAATGGAGACGTTTATTTTGACATTATTCTGGCCTTGAGGGAACTCTTATATTTGTGGCATTCACAAGCCATTGAACAGCAAATCAGATTTCCCAAAAATTTACTACAGCAATTTTTAAGGCTTTATTTAAAAAAAAGATTCTTATTTGTAAAGGTCAACCCATGTATTGTATTTGCCCCTCGTTATTCACGAACTTGCTACCTGCGACTTTGGCTTTCCACGAATTGCATCTGGAACTCTACACGACTGCATCGAGAGAGAGAAAGAAAGTGATGAGGGATAATTTGATGTGAGAAAGTGATGAGATGTAGTGGTGAGAGATATTATTATTATGATACTTTTCACGTATCTTATAGCTTATTTACTTTTTTTATGTATTTCATTAAAAAGGTTTTCATAAGTCAATATCGTTATCAGCAAAATGTACTATTCTCAAGCATCTCCAGAATGTATCCCTCGCGAATAACGAAGGGAACATTCTATTCCCCATCTTTCTATCTAACTCGTTAATGTTCAACACACGCAGTGTGTTGGTGTTCGATAAACCCTGTTTGATGTTTTACTCGTATAACATTTCTAATGTTTTTTCACAAATAAGGTATACACTGATATTCTATGGTGTTGCTATCGAAACGTCGTGCTATTTTTATTCTTTTTTATTCACTTTATTTTCATTTTTATTTTATTGTTATATTTTTTTCATCTACGTGACTTTGCCGAAAGAACCATAGAATATGAATTATTGCATTTACGAAAGTTTTAAATCAAAAGTATACACTGATGTTTGTGTGGAAGATGTGTTAAGATGTCTGAATGAGGCATACATAGTGTTTTCGTATACAGTTTCGCCTCATATAATAAGTATCGTCCAATTAGTGCTGAATCTAAGATTGTTTTTACGTTACAAAATCAGCTTTATTAAACGGGACTGTGTAGAGCTACAGTCATTTAAATTGTAGGGAAATGTGCATTAGACCTAATGGAAGACTGCAATTGCTCATGGGAAAATTTGTACTTTAATTCCCTCACTGGGATCCACGATTAATTGTGCAGCACTTACATTTTGTGCTCTGCCATTTCGTCCTTCCCAGAACAAACCTGGCAAATAGTCTGAACTGCATATTTCAAGGTCAGGTCGATGCTCTTCATGCAACGCTAGGTGTTTGTGATACGCATAGAACCCTTATGGGTGTTTGAAGAGCAGCCAACCGATAATTTTAATAAAAAAAAAAATTTGGCAGGGATTTTTTTTTCACTCAGTAGCAAAGCAGCCCAATAAAATCAGCAATTTTCATGCAAAACGGTCCATTTATTTTTGCACATGAGCCACAGATTGGCTTTGTTTCAGATGTGCCCAGTAAACTACAAGCAAAGTTTGCAAGTGTCGAGTACTTTCGTGAAACGCATTGAAAGACGGGGAGCTTCGCGGGAAGAACACTTTGATTCTGGTATTGCCCGTTATGTCTATACGTGCGTGAAACATTTTGTTACGTAACAAGGCAATGGGATATATATTTCGATTTAAAGCTTTCGTGACTGCAATGATTCATCTTCTTTGGTTCTTTCGGTAAAGTCACGTAGAATGAGAATAAAATAATAAATTGATAAAATAAAATAACACAATATTATTGTAAAATAAAATAACACAATATTATTGTAACACAATTATTATTGTGTTATTTTATTTTATCAATGTATTATTTTATTCTCATTCTACGTGACTTTACCGAAAGAACCAAAGAAGGGGATATATATTGTCATTTGTCATCGTTCATACTTGTCAGAAAGCCACCGTTTTGTGCCATTATGACATTCGTTTGGCAAGTATATGAGTCCCATTTAAGTTTATAAGTAAAAAAATACAAAGGAATATTTTTGTACAGTTCAATGAAGAGAGCTTCATAAATCTCCCCTCTGTACATTTCTGCTCATTTGAAAATTGTGTGGTGTTTCCATAGTTAACTTACGTTTAGAAATTATTTTACAGTTTTATGCATTTTAACATTCCGGTTGAATGTAAAATCGTATTAATTGTGAGCCAATTCATCTGCATCACAATATTTTTTTACCATTTTAACCAATCTGCTACATGCTGTTATTTAAACGATTTAATATAATGCTCTTAATTTTTAGTACAAATTAGAATTCTCTGAGTAGTGTTCAATTTAAAGTTGTAGCGCATTTATAGTTTTCTTTTGAAATTACCAGCAGCATTGTGCCAAATTATATCTCTTTGTGAACGGTTACATTTTGAATTTTTAAAAAAATGCAAATATACAGGGTGAATATGGTGCAGAGTTTGATGTTGGCTTTGCCCTAGTGAATGGTAGTTTAGGCCCAATGTTGTTGTGAGAGTGTGTGACTGCCTGCTTTGTGGGGAGTGGTAGCGCAACGGTTAGCGCGCTGTGCTACGAACCCGGCGACCTGAGTTCGATTCCCGCTCACGGCCAGCACCATTGACGATTACCTAAGCTGGTCCTGGGCCTCCCCTAGGTCGACTCAGCCTCAATTGAGTACCTGGTGTGGTGTGTAAACAACCCAACCCCCTCGTGGGTGGTGTCGGCTTTCGTAGGTGCTCGCGTACAGCACTATTAAGGCTATACGGGAGATCTTTGCCCTTGTTTGTGCCCGCCTGCTTTGATGATTTTTTCATGGAGAGAAACCCGCTGGTGGTCCCGGTGTGACCACTTTTCAGCACTTACTGAGAGAAAATGTAACTCCAGAGGTTTAATAATGCCTGAAATATGCTTTGTGGAAAATAGGCCACTGTATTACGCATTAAAGTGAGATAAAGCGGTTTTGAAAGTTGGGAAAATAAAAAAGCTAAGGAATGTTTAAAAAAAAATCCTTTCCAAAATTCTCATTCAGCTTTAATAAAGTGTGTAATTATTTTGTCTTTCTAATCTGCAAGTGACTATGGTCTCAAAAATCTAATTCCCTGCATAGTTTGGGTATATCTCTTGCATTTTTGCATTTGAATGTCCTTGACTTTCAGGGTTACATAAAACGTATATCGCTAAGGAGTAAGTGAACAATGAATGTGCACACAATAGTGCTAATTCAAGTTTTAATATGCTTCTTTAGCTGTTGCCTTTATATCTTTACAGCTTGGATTTTGAAGAGTGTGCCCACAAGCTACTAAAGATGGAGTTACCAGCTGGCCAAGAGGTATGTTTTCCTTTTGCATCACGTTTCAAATTCCACGGATTGGATTTATTTTTGTCACTCATTACTTAATTCGGAAAACCATTGGCAGCATCCTACCCTACTTGGCAGCCCATTTTTGCAAGCCAGTGCCACATACACCGTTTGCCGCACATCCTGCCGTCGGCAGGTCCCCTTTGGCTAAAACCTTCATACGGGTGTAGTGGCATAGTGCTGGCTGCTGGCAGAAAAGGGGATCTGCGGCGTGTGGCAGTCCTGACGTCAGCAGGCCAGGATATACACGAGAGGAGGATCTTGGGGAAAGGTCACAGAAGGGGCCCACCAGGAACCCGCTGGTAGGTTCCAGAAAGGTGGCGTGGCCGGCGTGGAGCGATGCCACGCTGACGGTATAAGAGGGGCCCCTGTGGGGGACCTCAGGGCTTGTTGTTGGAGTGGGATCCCCGTCGTGCTGTTGAAGTCCATCGTCGCAATTCTTCTCGTCGTCTTCACCATTCTTCTCGTCGTCGTCTCCGTCTCTACCATCTCGGGGCGCCGCTAGTCAGGCAGCCTACCAACTGTCCTGGCTGAGCAGCGTCACTCATAATAGACGGACTAAATATTAAGTTTGTTAATCCCGATGGTGCTCGGTAATAAACAAGTGCCTCCAAGTCTTATCGTCTCCGAGTTAGTCACCGCACGGGCATTGGTATAGTTGAGATGAGATGTCAGGAGTTTTGAGTTGCCGGGCCATTTAAGTGCCCGATAAATGGTGTGATTACACTGACAGCACTGATTCAATGTGTTGTTGGTTTTGCCAACAATACAATGAAAAATGCTTTTATTTGACATGCTTTGGTGGGCTTCACCTTAGTGACATCTAACATTATCCCATGTCAGGGATCAACATGTACGATTCTTGCTTTCTAAGTCACTAACACAGTCTGAACTCTGGGTTTCCCCCACTTTGGTCTATACATTTTTGGCAAAAGTTCTGTACGTGCCTGAATCAATTTGCGTTTGCTTATGTTAATGGAGCAAAAAAAATATATGAACACTTAATGATATGTCACCCTCTATTTTACCGTAAAAGCAAATGTAAACGTAATGTAAATAATGCTATGTTCTTCAGATGATATCACTCGCTTGTTTGTCCTGTGTCATAAAGCAAGAGTTCAGAGTGTTTAAACTGGTGTGTTTGTGTGTGTGTGTGCGCGACCAGAATTGTACAACTTTGTAATAGACATCGTGCACACGTTTGAGATGTGTTCATTTCCCGGCGTATCTTGTAATCCCTAAAACAGGTGTTACTTCATATTTTGGGGATCATCACGGTAGGTGACTTTCAGAATACATTTGCATGCATTGCAATCCGTAGTGCCAGGCTCTTGTTTAGTTTACTTAAAATTTTAGTCGTGGATAAGAGCAAGTTGGAGTGCTTTTGGATAGCTGAACTCGATAATGGAAAGGAACATGAATGCAATGTGGGTCATTCACGAAAAAATAACAATATAAAAAAAGTACGCACAAGCATGGAGAAATGCACGTTTTGGAATCGTATTGAGAGACATAAAGATAAACGCATGTGTGTTATATAACATAGACACGCTCATGACATAATTAAAACTGTTTGAGAAAATTAAGTGGGCTTGGGCAGGATGCATCACTGGCAGGGAATGGTGGCAGATGGTAAAAGTTAATGACGGCGTCGCAGCCAAGGAGTGAAATTGGATCCGAGAGCGAGTCCACCGAGGGAACGGTAGCAACGAAATCGGTTCCTGTGCAGGATCCTGAGACATGCTGGAGGCTTCAGGGCATGATCCTCCATCCGGCAGTGGATTGACCATGTAAAACACTTAGGAATTTGACAATGATGTATTCGTGTATATATATAGAGGACTGCAGAGCTTGGGGGGTGCGCGGGGGAGGTGTGGGAGAAAATTTGGCACGGCTCGCAAACCTGGCTGCCTTTCCCACTTCCGGTTCATGCTCGTGCCTTTTGAGTCATCCAATGTTGTGCGGTGCATTACAGGTTGAAATTATTATTATTATGGTGGCTGCATAGAATGTGTGACTGCACTTGTTGTATAGCGTTCTTTATTTGCGTAACCCCAATTAAACGTTGGGGGTGGGGGGGGGACTGCCCTTGATAGAACTTCACAAACAAGAGGTTCATAATCGTTTGAGAAACATCTTGGTCTGAAGTTGTATCAGTTTGCGGATTACCTTACATGCCCATCTTCTACAGGCTTTGGGTTTGGGGTAGACACTGATAAGCCAGTGCGTGGTTTGTGGCTAGTTTGCAGGGGCAGCTACAACAAACTCAAACGACCTCTCGTGCAGCGATCGAACGTCAGCTGCAAAGTGGATAGCGTTTGATCAGTCGATTGATTCATCCAATGATGCTGCTTCCAACTTTTGGGGTATGGAGAGTCATAGGATTGATTCTACTTTGAGATATGACAGATGATAGGAGTTTTTTTTTTTTTAAAGAAAGTTGTCAAGGACCGAGTTGTAAAGTAAGTGACAAAAAAAAATCTTCATATGATACGATTTTAATTTTGGGATATTTTTTTTTATTGGAATGGTGCGAAGTCTGCAAAAAATTGGAACAAGTCAATTTTAACACGAGTTGAGGCTGTTGCTGTCAAGTCACAAGCGTTGATATGTGCTCAAGAACAAAGCAATTGAGGGCATTGTTCAAAGCAGATTTAAATCGGCTCAAGAATGCGGCGAGCTACAAGGGAATTCATTCTGCCATTTGAAAAGATGAAACGAAACGCAGAGGAGTTGGTCTCATGGGACACGTGTGATTGCCAACAGGCTTTAAAGGCCCCATATTGAATCGAGCGGCCACTTCAGTGCAGTTGATTTGCTTGTCTGCAGCAACAAGTAAAATAGTGCAGATTGTATGTGTTCAGATATTTATGATTTTCTGTTTGCACAGTCACATAGTCACTTGAAGATGTTTTTCTTGTTTGTGTTTTTGTTTGTTTGCGGTTGCACCCGTTTCAAGAGCCGAATGGCTCACAGGGCTATACCAAAATAAATAAACTGAAAAACTTAAACGTATTGCCTATTGGATCCTGCGCATATGCTACATATGCTATGTTTCAAAGGAGGAACCATCCTACCATCTGTAGGAGAAAGCTTGACGTCGGAAAACATGTATCTCACATTTGGCCAAGTGCTGTAATGGTATGCTATTGAGCTTGTGGATATCCAGTCGTTCAGACATAAAGAAGCAGCTGCTTTTGTAAAATAATGCCGATTAAGAATGCAAGGCTTGCTTAAGACGGTGACGTTTAGCTTGTCCCTCCACAACTTTAACTGCTCGGGTATTGGGGTATCCAATTTCCTGCAACGCCTCCGCGATGATAATTACATCCTCCTCTAGCTTTGCCGAATTAAAGTCCGCAATGCCAAACTGGCGTTGGCTGCCTTTCAATCACAGAGAGGGCTTAATGCAATTACAACTACGGCAGTTCCACACAGCTTGGTTGTCCATTTCGTGCGATCTCCCATTCCCCCAGGGTTGTTTGATTTTTAAGAGGCTTTGCGACAGTTGCTTCTCCAGAAGGTAAAAAAGCCTGCATGTTCAATTGGGTAATCATTGAGCACACGAGACGTGCCCCTTGCTAGCGTCTCTGCATGTTTTAAAGCAAATAGTCTTTGTAATATTTACCAGCGGAGGCAGTGAGTCGCAGCACATTTCCCTTTTGCATCCTGACCCAGTGAGATTATTGTTTCCATTTAAAAAAAAACTTCTGCACTGTGATTTAGGGATGCTTCCAAGTGGCCGCCACGGTGGCTAGGAGATGCTAACTACCTCGCCTGGCATACAGGAGGTCGTGGGTTCGATCCCAACCCTGACACCTGCTGTATATCTAAAGTTTGTATGTTGTCCCTGTGGCCGAGTGGATTTTTCTCCGGGTCCTCCGGGTTTTTCCCTCTGCATTTAGAATCACATGCATTTTAGAGTAATTTGGCTGCTGTAACGTTCCACGTGACAAGCCACTTCATTGGGCTATGATTTGTGGCCAGGTCGCTTCTGTCAAAGAGCTGTATAGCTCAGTGGGCCTTACCTGGTAAAATAAGCAAAACTGTTAATACTGTGAGCGCACTAGACTTGCAGTCCTCAAGTCCTTGCTTCGATTTGTTCTCCCAGCACGGTAGTTGAAATACTGGCAATGTTTCTTAACCCCCCCCGCCCATATGCCTGGCCACCCAGCCGCGTAAACGATTACACCACGGTCAGTCGACGAGCAGGTCCCGTGTGACGTGGTAAAAGTGCGGACGCTTCGGTCTCATTCACGGCGTCTGACCAGCGTGAAGGAGGTGGTCAACAGGGCTCTTGAGGGGGCTGTCTATAGCGCTCCGTTCGGCCAACAGTTGCTTGAGCAAGACATTGCTGGGCTGCGCCTATCCCCGTTAGCTTTACGCTGTGACTCAGATGCCTGTCGTACCTCAACACGAGTATATGTGTAGTCGCCATTTGTCGTTATGGGTGCTGTAATTGGGCAATTGAAACGCTGCTTTTAATGCTTTAACTCGCTGCTTGGTGATAGTTTTTTTTTCATTCAATCGCCGCCTATCTGGCTGGTCTGTCCCTCCGTCAGCAATTAACTCTTCAATCATATAACGTTGTCTGTTTAAGAAAAGAAAAATGTTGCCATTACACTTTAATTATGCAATAAAAAAAAATGTAACAATGTAAATTATGTTGAACCATAATTTATTTGCTGTAGACTTTATGCTTGTTCATGTGGGGTTTTTGAATGGAAATTAACCTTCAAGCGTGTAGCATAAAATATTCAGAGAAAGCAATTTTAAAATGTATAACGACAAACGAAAATAAACCACATCAAACAAATGTGAAGTATATGATAAAAGTTTACAAAAATATATAATTCTTCTCCCAACTATTTCCAGATATACAAGCTTCAAGCCAATGGTACGTTTAGAGGAACAAAACGGTGATGCACTCTGCATTCTAAACGTTAACGTGGGAATGTTTAATATATTCT